ATATTTTCCAGGGGATCACTCGCTATCACTCGGGAATCTGTGTCTTTTGAAACTATCAGCGATCTGTGCAGGCTTAACTTGAAACACAAAGCTGAAATATCGAAGGGCTAATATATATAAAAACGACTAAAATATAAAAGGACTAATTTAAAAACGCTTTCGTAAAAAGATAAGTCTTCAGTTTTTTTCTTGAAATCGTCCAGACTGTCACAAGATCTTATTCCTAGTAGCATGTCATTCCACAACTGTGGTGACGCTACTAAAAAGAACGAAAAAACCATAGTTGCGCAGATCATATTTAACATCAAACAGGCGATGGCCATCAGCAGATCTTAAGTTGCGGCTAAGAAAACTTCCCCTTTATACCATCTACAGTTCCTTCAGGGGAAACCAACATGTTCGTGGATGATAAAATGATATCGTGTGTGGCTGAAAATGGGGATCAAGCAATACACCAGCTAAACAAAGCACTGAAGGAGCTTTATCCCTGGTGTCTAAATAACAGGATCGCACCATTCCCTAGAAAGAGCGAAAGTATGCTCTTATCTAAAACTAGCGCAGTGGGGCCGATTCCACCCGTCACCATCGGCGGTTGCTTTGTCAAACTGGTTATCAAATCGAGGTTACACGGTGTAACTGTAGACGACGGGTTGACATGGATACCGCAGCTATCTGAAGTTAAAAAGAGTTTTGCCAATAAAAATAATCCACTAATAATATAGAAGTTCCGGATCAATATCGGTATCTGGGCAACTGCCCACCTACCCCTTCCGTAACTCAACAACAGTCAATTGATAACAAGCTAGGGTTGATGTTGGGTTAGGGGAGGGGTAGGTGGGCAGTTGCCCAGATGCTAATATTAATCCGAAGTTCCGACCTAAGAGTGTTTTTTAGAATAATTTTACTTCAGTATTATTTTGCCTTCAATAACTTACGGCTATATTACATGGGAAAACTGCAGCAACTCTGAACTATGTAGGTCAATTGAAAAACTTCACGGCTGGCTGAGCAGTGAACTTACTCTAAAACTTAGGAAATAACACCTCCTATGAAGACATTCTAAAGATAGCCGAATGGCATTCCTTAGCTTACATCTTCAAGGCCAATATGTTTAAGCTGGTGTATGATGCCTACAGCGATAGATTACTGTACAACAAAGTGACAAAATTGTAACCAAGAGAAATACCAAGTACTCGTTCAGAGGATCAGAAATTATTGTTGTTCCAAAATTTCAGGCGCTATTCTCTGGAATACAATTACATTCAAATACCAATATCAGCAAATTTACGTATTTTTTGCTAGCTGGCGAATGTGGTGCAAATTTAGATCACTAAAATTGTTACATATTTGCTCCCTTGGCAAACCCGATTAAATCCATTTTTCGTGCAGTGTAACCCCGCTATCGAACTACTCAGGGAAAATGATTAACTATTAAACATTTTAATTTGGCACTCTTCCCCTACATCATGCCTGACTAAAGTATCCTTTGTTGGAACACATACATATTGAGGCGGATGCCATACTTCAAAACCCACATTGTTTGCGATACTTATTCCGTTCTTACTCGCCATCATGCCAAAGTAAACATCGTCCAGTCTGAAGAACGACAAAGAAGAAAAAGTGTCAACAAATGCACGTACAACATCGTGAGATAAAATGTATCCAAAACCGAGGCAAAAATCTGGATAT